TCTTTTTTTTTTTTTTTTTTTTGGTATTTTGAGAAGGGGTCTCACTGTGTAGTTCAAATTGGCCTTGAACTCACTATGTAGCCCACGCTGGCCTCAAACTTACAATGATCCTTCTGCCTCAGCCTCCCAAGTGCTGAGATTACAGGCATGCACCACCACACCTGGCAGTCACCTTTTCTATAGAAAGACTCTGGATGTTTTTGTTTTTGTTTTGTTGGGATTTTGAGTATAGGATAGGATAACTGGGAAGTTAGATTTTAAATCAGATTGTATCTAGGGCCGGGGATTTAGCTCAGCCACCTGCCTTGCAAGCGCAAGGACCCACATTCTATCTCCAGTACCAAAAAAAAAAAAAAAATCAGATTCTATCTCATGTGTAAATGCTGAGCTCTGGCTGTGGGAGACCCAGGTTTCCCAGTTAGTAAGCAGCTTTTCTTCAGGATATCGTTGACTCCTGCAGGGCCCTGGATCAGAGTAACAAGAATAGAAGTACTTGGGGATCTGGCCCTCTGAAAGGTCTTAGGGAGTTGGGGAAGGCTGTGCATTCTTCACTGTACTTGCTATACCTTAGTGTCCAGTTTGGGAGGACCAGAGAACAGCAGGACCACCCTGTAACCAAAGGAAGGTGCTGTTTAGCCTGTCAGAGTGATCTCATCCTTTCCTGACATTCACCCATGCTCTCTTGCTCTGAATCCACATTAATTTCAGTGAGACCTCGAAAGATCATCCAGGGCAAGCAGATTGTCATCCTCCCTGCATCCAGGCCAGGCCGACGGCCAGGGAAGAAGCCACATCCTACCCAGAGGTCACGGCAGAAGGCCCCCCCTGTGGATGACGCTGAAGTGGACGAGCTGGTAAGAGTCACTTGTTGGCCTCCCTCTGGCCTTTCTGTTGTATTCCCCACCACCACCGCTAGGAATTCTCCAGGCAACAGGTGGGGAGCCCCCTCCCCCCGCAGCCGGTGGCGGGGAGCGGAGGAGGCAGATGGGTGGCCCCTGGGCAGACAGGGGGCAGCAGGCCCTCCAGGAACAGCTATGTCCGGCATTCCCCTGCTGTGCAGCCTGCAAACTGTCTCTGCTAGTTAGCAGCAGCCTGCAACTTGTTAAGGATTTTAAAATAGTATCCATGTGTCTCTGGTGGGCCCAGAGGGGCTGGGTCTCCCTTGTGGGAATGTCAGCAATGTGAGTCTCACTCGCTGTTGGGTCTTTTGCTGACAGTTGTTAGGGGAGGGATGTTCCCCTCCCCTCTGCACCTCAGCCAATGTAATTTTAGTAGCTTTGTTTTAGATCTCACTTGAACATTGAAGAACAAAAAGAATCTCTTGTAAACTTGCTTATTTTGACAGATCGCATTGGGGTTGGGGGCATAAAGCAGGCCATTAGGGAGTTCACGGCATTAAAGAGCCGCCTGGGCCCATCCCCCACCTGTTCAGTGCTGTGCTCCCTGCTGAGAGTCCCGGTTGGTGATGGGACTCACCCAGGAAGGGAAGCCTCCTGCCTTCTCTCTGTAGCCACCTCCTTCCATGTGCCTGCCATGGACGAGCCAGGGAAGGGAATGGACCTCTTGCTTTTCTTCCCAGAGATGCCTCTCCCCACAAAATAACCTGTCTGGCTTTTTCCAGTTGCTTATTTATACCCATCCACAGTATTGCCATAATCCCAGGTCCATCTGCTGTGAGGGCCAGCGTCCTGTTGACAGTGGCCCTCTCTTGCTGGCCTCCAGCAGTTCTGCTGTTAATACGGCAACTGCTGCCTGCTCCCTGTCGCTTTGATCCCCATCCATCAGGGAGGAGGCAAATGGGACGGAGGGAGGACACTGGCTTCTTGGCTGAGAGTGTGGTCTGACTTAAGTGGCAGATGATTTTGATGTCTCTGCTCCAAGGATCTGGTTGAACTCGGGGATTTTTTGTTTGTTTTGTTTTGTTTTGTTTTTTGAGACAGGGTCTCACTATGTAGTTGAGACTGACCTGGAACTCACTATGTAGCCCACGCTGGTCTCAATCACAGCAAT